GAAGATACTGGAAGAGGGTGGGTAGACCTGCTTTCCAGAGGCCAGGTCTACCAATATAGTGGAATGGGGGGGGGGGAGACCTGTTCTTCAGAGACCAGGTCTACCAATATAGAAGAAAGGGATGGGCAGACCTGTTCTCCAGAGGCCAGGTCTACCAATACAGTGGAATGGGGTGGGTAGACCTGTTCTTCAGAGCCCAGGTCTACCAAGATAGTGGAATGGGATGAGTAGACCTGCTCTCAAAAGCCCAGGTCTACAGTGGAATGGGGGGGGGGAGAGACCTGTTCTCCAGAGGCCAGGTCTACCAAGATAATGGAAGGGGGTGGGTAGACCTGCCCTCTGGCAGGGGGGAGGGATGACGCCACCCACCTGGGCCCGCCAGCCCCTCAGGCAGCCAGGGGGGAACACTTCTGGTGGCTCTCGCCCACCAGGGACTCAGGCGGCCAACGGGCACCAGGAAGGGAGTGGGGCCCTGCAGCCGGGCGGCCAATCTAGCACTCATCTTCAGTGCTACAACGAGCCTGATTCCTAGTTAACAGGGCTTTTTTGTAGAAAAAGCCCAGCAGGAACTCATTAGCATAATAGGCCACACCCAACAGCAGAAACTCATTAGCATATTAGGCCACACCCCCATGCCTTCCCTTGGCTTGCCTGGGTGCCCTGTGGTTGTGGGGATCCCGTGCAAGCCAGCCCTTGGACAGGCCGGGGAAAACACGGGGAGGCATTTAAATGCCTCCCCGATCCTTCCAGGCCCTCCCCGTTGCCAGGGGGTGTGTGTGCTCTCCAGGCCTTCCCTCTGTAGCCACGCACGCAGAGGTTTTGGCTGTAGTGGGTGTGGCCAACTTTGAAGCCAGACGGAACTCCGTTCCTGTGTGTTCCTGCCCAAAAATAGCCCTGCTAGTTAATAATACATAAATAATACAGCCATCAGTGCACAAGGCACCCTACAGATGCCTACACCAGTGGAGAATACAATCTAAAACTATTGATGCAACTTACCACAAGATGGGCAGAGAAAAAAAAGGAGGGAATTGAATGTGGGAAGATGAATTACATGCTTTTAAAACTTAGCTACAGTTGGGAATGAAGATCAAAGACTAAACCTTTATCTTCATCACAATTTCTGCTTGAAAGATAAGACTACAGCATATGAATGGGATTTCATATATACTTTCTCTAGTACTATTTTATATCCGGATGTGAGTTTTTGCTACCCACGTGCAGAGATAAACTTGTACCTCCCTACTAGAGCAGATTCACATTTGGACTGTTTACATTTTTTTCAAGGGACTATTCCAGAAGCCCCAAGCACTGCAGTGGCTATGCAAATTTCTGCTACATTTTCGTTTCATATGTAGTAATAACTGAATTTCCTAAGGTGACCCAGTGAGAACATGGCTAAGGAAGAATTTCCTAGGATTTCAAAGTCCAACACTTGATTCACTGAAAAACTGATCTGGAGGGCAGCAACGTCACTTAGTTAAATATGCCACACTTTCATGGTCTGTAACAAATTTATGCTCATCTAGTGATCCTCATGACCAACTGCATGAGAAATGTTATTTTTATTATTTTCAGGGCTCTTTTTGTAGATAAAGCCCAGCAGGAACTCATTAGCATAATAGGCCACACCCAACAACAGAAACTCATTAGCATATTAGGCCACACCCCCATGCCTTCCCTTGGCTTGCCTGGGTGCCCTGTGGTTGTGGGGATCCCGTGCAAGCCAGCCCTTGGACAGGCCGGGGAAAACACGGGGAGGCATTTAAATGCCTCCCCGATCCTTCCAGGCCCTCCCCGTTGCCAGGGGGTGTGTGTGCTCTCCAGGCCTTCCCTCTGTAGCCACGCACGCAGAGGTTTTGGCTGTAGTGGGTGTGGCCAACTTTGAAGCCAGACGGAACTCCGTTCCTGTGTGTTCCTGCCCAAAAATAGCCCTGCTAGTTAATAATACATAAATAATACAGCCATCAGTGCACAAGGAGACTATGGCAGAGTATCAGAGGCACAGGCTAGCAAATGATAGAGCAGCTCAACATTTATATGTGACATTGATTTCAGTGGGATAGACTTAATCACATGATTACCTCTCCAGTTAAAATCAATGGGACTCAAAAGTGCTTCACTCTGACAGGACTTTGCTGGTTATGTTTTTGCACAACTGTATTAGGGATAAATGAAAATGCCCCACTTTGGGTGCCCCCACCTACTGAAATTAGGTGGGTGACAACCTGGGAGAAGAAGGCCTTCATGGCTGTGGCACCAAAACTCTGGAACTCTCTCCCCAGGGAGACTCCTTAGTCTGCTTCTGTTATTTTCTTCCACCAGTGGTTAAAGACTTTTAAAATTTTGTTCGGCATTCTCTCAGTGATCCCTCCTTTTGGAACAATATTTTATTTGTTGTTTTTATGTTGTTGTATTTGCATTAAAGCCCTGGTTTCAATTGTTTTAATTATATAGTATATGGTTTTATTGTTGGCTTTAATGGTTTTTATTATTTTATAATGCATATATTTAATTTGTTAGCCATCTTGGTGGTGCTTATGAGGGCAGAAAGATGGGTGTAAATTTTGTAAAATTAAATAATCTGTAAATTTATATTGATTTGGTAAAGATAATTCCAGGATTTCTTAAAGGATTTTTCTCTGCAGCAACACCTGCTACTATAATCTTGAATTGTTATCACCGGCTACCATATTAGTAGCACAGTCTGGGAAATGATGTCCTGACTCTGCAATAGTGCAATGCTGGATTTGGCTTAGATATATATATTTGCATTAATCATAATAATCAGAAATGGAAGGAG